TTGTTTTTTCTGCTGCTTGGCAAGGTGGTCCACTACAGATTAATGGTGAAAGGAGCTCTAACACGCTGCTTAAAATCTCGATTAAAGCCGCTGCTCAGAGCCCCACGCTCAGCACTTCAGCAACCCCTGTACGCAGCGGCCATCTTCTCTCCTGTAAGCCTCTTGCATTTGATTTTTTTTTTGAGAGAGAGAGAGAGAGATTTTTTTAATATTTATTTTTTAGTTTTTGGCAGATACATCATCTTTGTTTGTATGTGGTGCTGAGGATCAAACCCGGGCTACATGCATGCCAGGCGAACACGCTACCGCTTGAGCCACATCCCCAGTCCCTCTTGCATTTGATTTTCCAATTCATTCTTCAGTTTTGGGAAATTTACTGATACTATTTCATTGAAAAGGTTGTGCATTCCTTTGATTTTTATTTCTGTGCCTTCTTCTATTCTGATAAGTCTCAAATTTGGTCTTTATGTGTTATCCCATAATTCTTGGTGGTTCTGTTCATGATTTCTTACTATATTCACTGTGTGGTCAACTTTATTTTCAGGATTACATATTTTGTCTTCATTGCCTCAGGTTCTGTCTCCCAAGTGAGCTAGTCTGTTGGTGATGCTTTCTATTGAAGTTTTAATTTGATTTATTTCAAGTGTTTCTATTTTTATTTTATTTTATTTTTTCAGAATCTCTCTTTCTTGAAATAATTTTGTTTCTTGCATTTGCTCTCTTATCTCTTCAATGAAGTGATCACTTGTTGTCTATTTACTGTCTTAAATCATTCATTACTTCACAAATGTTATAAAATACAATCAGTAAAGGGAAGGCAGGCAGGAAGAAAATAGAAGTATATTTACGAAAAGCAATGTCTCTCAAATGCTTCTTCCTAGGTCTTCTCTCTCTCTCTCTCTCTCTCTCTCTCTCTCTCTCTCTCTAGAAGCAACTAGCATTTTGAGTTCTTTATATATTCTTTCAGTTGTTCTATAAATTTTTGTGTATATATGTAGGTTGATGCTGTTCTTATGGGAATGTGGTAGCAAATTATTTATAATTTTGTTCTACTCCATAACTATGTAACTTGAAGACTGTCAGTATCAATAGAACTTCTCCAATCTGTTGGAGAAGTTGTAATCTGTTGTATGGATATACCATAATATATTCAACAATGCCTAATGCATTCTGATGAACAGGGCTTTATGTAACAATGGGAACACAGAATACCAATGAATTCACATTTGCACTGTCAAAAATACAGAAGTGCATGAGGTACTAGATAAATAAGCAGTTTTTGTTGTTATTGGAATGTAAGGCTTATCTCATGGCAGTGGTGGTCATTTAAAAAAAAAATCCTCATAAGTACCTTGTGGGGAGCCATTCTCACACGTGACTGGGCAACTCCCGGTTTGGATCTGAGGCGCTCTGGCTAAACTGTGTCGGAGCTTTCCTGATCCTCTCCAGGTGAGAGAGCCTGTCCGTGTCGGGGTGTGACTCACCACTGACCCTGGGGGCCAATCACTGACCCTGACCTTGGAGTGCTGCCCCCCTCAACCTTCATTGGATGGAATTCTCCCCTGAATTTCTTTTTTTTTTAATTTTTTATTTTTTTTTATTGGTTGTTCACAACATTACAAAGCTCTTGACATACCATATTTCATACATTAGATTGAAGTGGGTTGTTCCCCAATAAAAGGCTACTCCCTGGCGTGCTCTCTCTCTCTCTCTCCTGCTAGCCTCGAGCAATCCCTGCTGCCCTACTGGGTGGTTCGAGGTAGGAGCTAGAGGGGGAGCCGTCTTGGGCCTGGTCATAGAAAAAGGTAACCGAGTCTGTGTGTTTTATTTTGATCTCGCTAGCTAACTTTTATGACAAGAACCTCTTTAATGAAACCAGTGTGCTGGTCGCATGGTAGAAGTACCTAAAGAGAGTATTATTATGCCTCTTTCCCAAATGCAAAGGGAATTTAGAGACATAGTTACTTGTCCACATTTCACACAGCTAGTAAGCAGCAGAGGCAACATCTAAATCCTGGGTCTCTTCAATTCCATGCCCATTCCCCAACATAAGCTTCCTTAACCGCAGAAAATTCTGTGCAAACACAGTGTAGTTAGCGGCTGGCAAATAATTAAGAATAGTGTTACTTGCAAATCTGACATTTCATTGGATCAATATTATGTCTTTCAATCTTTTGTAGTTAATAGTTGAAGCTCCACCTGGGAAAACAATTGGGTATGTTCATCAAAAGTTTCACCCTATTTGGCCAAATTTAAAAATAAAAAATCAGAAAAAGGAGGATGTAATGAAAATCAAAGGACCATGTTTGGTTTCTGGCTGTCTCAGGAATCTAAATTTTAATGTGAGTAATTCATATTTTTTTAAGATTATCATTGTCAAATTAGTTAATTATTTGATTATTTTCTAATATTTAAAAATAATTAATGTGATTAAAAAAATAAAAACATATTCGATTTACATTGTTACTATCTGTTTTTTCCCAAATGAAGTACTAATTCACAATATCCTTGTTTAATTAAGCCCTAGAAGTTCATGTAATTTATAAAAAATTTTTTAAAGCTATCTTTTTTGTTTATGCTTATCAAACAACAAGTTTTGTATTTAATATTTCAAGTAATATTATAAGAAAAGAGTTACACTTTATTGCAATAGATAATGACGTAATCTGACGATAATTACAAGTTATATATTACTGTTAATTAATATAGCTTTTGCTTTTCATAAAATTCTGAAACTTATATGATACAGTTTTTTTAATTTTTAATTTTTTTTAGTTGTAAATGGATCTTTTACTTTATTTATTTATATGCGGTGCTGAGGATTAAACCTTGGGCCTTACACATGCCAGGCAAGTGCTCTACCACTGAGCCACAACTCCAGCCCTGATAAAATTTTTAATAAAATTTTATTTTATTACTTAAATCATTTAAAATTTTAATAAAATTTTATTATACAAGTTTCAGAATTTTATGAAAAGCAAAAGCTATATAAAATTTTATTAAAAATTTTATCTGCTTGAAATTTACTTCACAGATGATGACCAATGTCCAGGAAATAATCTTGGAAACCAACTACTAACTATGCTAAATATAGTTAATAAAATTAAATGACTGAGTACATTTATTTAAATCTTAAGATTCCTAAACAACAAAAAATAATGCATTATTTGAGAAGATATTACATATGCAAAGCAGTGTTTTCCAAAATTTCATCAAGGACATTGTTGGTTGGTTGCTTTGTAATATCAAAAATGTCTAGTCAGAAATACTTCCTGACTTTTCTTCCCTAGAATCATGTAAATTCATTTTAGGTAATATGGATTATGATTAGTATCGGCACAAAAAATTAAGGAAAACATGCTTAATCAAATTAATGGTTACAAAATTTTAATTTGGAAAATACTATAACAAGCACACAGAACTCTGTTTTAAGTTGGAAACCAAAGTCACAGAGTGATCAATGTATATAACTGTGGGAGCTGAAGCCACTTTGGCTTATTTTTACTGACAGCAAACAACAAAATGCTTTGTGTGCATTGTTCTATTTCTCACAATAGGATACAACAAGTCCTACTTTATTCTAACGTCTCCAAAACTTTCTCTAAGGTGTGTAAGACATTTCCTCTTTCTTCTAATTTTGAGCAAAACAATTTTAAAGCAGGCACTCTTGGTAAGCCCCCAGAATGAGGGACAGGAAGGGAAGTCCTGGTTCTGTAGGCAGTGTTCCCCTGGATGACTATGGACAATGTTTTTGGCCATGAAGGAGAGAAGAGAGAAAATACAGTAGCCAGGACTTGGGTTAAGCAAGTAAGGCATACAGCACAGATGTAGAGCTTAAGGGACCCTTAAAAAACAAACAACAAAAAAAAAAACCCCTCAGTAATTAAGATAGTAGTTGAATGTGATATTTTTAAGAAATCAAAATTAATTCAGAGAACTCCGTTATAAGCAAATATCCATTACTTAAGCACTGCATAACTTGCCTTCTTGCTTTGCCCTGATCTTGTGTCTGTCTGGATGAGCTCAAGGAAGTGTAGGTACTTTGACAAGTAAGTCCTTAGCAAGTTCTGATTTTAAAGTCAAAGGAACCAAAAGAAAGGGAAATGTTGGATGTGCCTCAAGGATGAATACTAAGTCTCTTTTTGGGAATGAGATTTAAGACACATACAGGGAATTAGCTTTATATAGGCATGGAAATGGCCCATTTGTCATAGTGGGAAAGAAGCAGGGAATTCTGGTGAAAATACAAAGACTTTGTAGGACCTGAGTCTGGGAAATTAGTAAGTTCCTGTCAGTAGCTTCTACTTTTTCCATAACATAGGAGATGAGATGTTTTGCTGAGGTTTCTGAAGAGAGTGCAGAAGTTTGGACATAGTTCATCAAAACTCTTTCATATTTCTCTTTCTCCAAATTTCTTAACACCACTCCCTATGCATGACCAGCCCTGCATGCCTCTCTTGCCAATCCATTCCTGCAACTAGCTCCCTCACTTCACTCCAGCTACACTTCCTCTTAACTCCCAGCATACCGATGTCTCTCTCTGGGATGTTCTCTGTCTCTTAATTCTTCTTTTTTAATTCCTTCTGGTCCCCTAAGCCTCAGTTTAAATGATGCTATCCCCAAGTCCTTGCTCTAAAGTCATCCCCATGGTCTATTTTAGTTTGCTTATTGTCTCTCCTTGGATTCCATCATATCACCACGCCTCTCCCTGTATGGCACTATTACAAGGAGCGAAGGGTTTTCCCCAGGCTTGTTCTTTTATATTTGCCTGAGTATCTCTTATGAGGAAGGAAGGAATGTTGTTTTGTGTAAGAAGTGATATTCCAGGGAATCTCCATAGTTAAAGGTGGGGTGAGGAAAAGATGTAGGCAATTGAGATCACTTATAGAAGAGCTGAGCTAACTATGGAAGAGCTGAAAATCTAGTGCTTTTCATTTTGCAATTAAAGTGATTTTCATATCAAATTTAAGCAAATAACAAAACTAAGCTTATGTGTTTGGGTGGGAGAGGTGTGTGCCCATGTGCGTATTAGTTATATGTAATTTGTAAAGCTAATCTTATGCAGAAATTATCTACAAGTGTTTTTTTTCCCTGGCAAGTTTGTGCCCATGTTGCATAATCTTTTAATGGTAGAATAAAATAAGTGTTATCATAACTCATAAGGTTCAGAGTAAATAATTAAATTAGGTGCAAGAATTTTTTGCATTTTAATGATATATCTCTCCTTTTAGATATTGTCTGTGGGTGATGAAAGAGTTATTGGAAATATTTCAAAACTTTGCCCTGGATTTGTGAAAGGATTGCTATCAGATGCTGATTCATTTAAAATCCAGTTTCCATACGATCTTGATGTTAAAATCAAAGCATTGATGCTTGGAGCAAGTTTGTTCATTGTGAGTCTATTTTCATTACATTGGCTGAAAATTACATTTTCTTATATTACTATAACCTTTGTTAATATTTCCCCTCAAATCATTTGAATCAATTGCAAATTGTGCCTCTTTGGTCTAGTCATCAGTCTCCAAATCACACCAGAGATTCAATATTCACACAGCAAAGAAGCAAAAATCAGTGCTCTATAATCACAATAATCAAAGTCCTTTGTATTTATAAAGACTCACACTAAGTTATTGATAATAGGAACAAATTGGTTCATTCAATATGTATTATTATACTTACTTGTATTTCAGACATTTGAAATTTTGCTGGTAAAATTTTTGTTTTATTTAAAAAGAAATGTTTTGTTCATTAGGAAAATATACATATTGTCTTAATCCATCATGATGCTATAACAAAATACTTGAGACTGGGTAACAGTATCAATCTCAAGATATAGAGATAAATGCTAAAAAGTTAGAGACTGGCAAAACTATCATCATAACGAGAACTTTATATACACCTCCAAATTGTTACTAGATATGAGACATAATCTTAGTTATCTACAAGATAAACAAAATTAAAAAACTGATATTATGCACTTATGTAGACCTCTTTATCCAATAATTATATAGCACACATTGTTTTCAAACAAACATTGTTTACAAACATTGATTTTATAGAGATCCCAGAATCAAGTCTCAACAAACCTTAGGGGATCATCAGTATCATCAAGGTCTTGGTTCTCTGAGAAAATGAGACTAAATTAGAACTAATGTTAAATACTTTTAAATGTATATGCAAGAAAAAATGTAAATAACTAAAGAATAAAAAGACATAATGGAAAATTAGAGCATCAATACATAATAAATCAATGCATATGAAAATTATTTATTCCTTCCAGCATTAAAAAAAAGGTGCATGACTATGAATACTTATTAAAGAAAAGGGGAAAATTAATGAGCCCAATCTCCATTAGTTAAAACTGACAAACCAATAAAAGAACAGATGAAACCCAAAGGAAGCCTAATGAAGGAGATGTTGAATAATGGAGCAAACAAAGACAAAGAACAAACAACACTCATATTTCAGTCTCTAAATTGAAAAGGTACCAATCAATAAATGGGCTAAGGAACTGAACAGGAGAAGAAACACAATCAATCAACAAATATATGAAAAAATGTTCATCATCTCTAGCAATTAGAGAAATGCAAATCAAAACTACTTTAAAATTTCATTTCACTCTCCAGTCAGAATGGCAATTGTCATGAATACAAGCAATAATAAGTGTTGGTGAGGATGTGGGGGAAAAGGCACACTCATACATTGCTGGTGGGTATGCAATTTGGTGCAACCACTCACTCTGGAAAGCAGTATGGAGATTTCTCACAAAACTTGGAACAAAACCACCATTTGACCCAGTGATCCCACTCCTTGGTTTATACCCAAGGACTTAAAATCAGCATACTACAGGCTTGCAGCCACAACAATATTTACAGCAGCTCAATTCAAAGTAGCTAAACTATGGAACCAATCTAGATGCCTTTGAACAAATGAATGGCAAAAGAAACTGTGGTATATATACACAATGGAATATTACTCAGTTTTAAAGAAGAATGAAATTATGGTATTTGCAGGTAAAAGGATAGAACTAGAGAATATCATGCTAAGAGAAATAAGCCAATCCCCCAAAACCAAAGGCCAAAGGTTTTCTCTGAGAAGCGAATGCCTATCCATAGTAGGGGGTGGGGCTAGGGAAGAATAGAGAAACTTTGGGTTCGGCAGAGGGGAATGAGGGAAGGGGAGGAGGTTGTGGGGATGGGAAGGACGGTGGAATGAGATGGACCTTATTACCCTCTATACATGTATGATTGCACAGCTGGTGTGACTGTGCACCATGCACAGCCAGAGGAATAAGAAGTTGTGCTCCATTTGCGTACAATGTGTCAAAATGCAGTCTACTGTCATGTGTAACTAATTAGAACAAATTTAAAAAACTTTAAAAAATTTAACAGGTTTTTCAAATCAGGGAAACCACAAAGTTATACACTGCTAAATTCCACTATCTGTAACTTCCATAACTCAAAACAAATCATAATGTTAAATGTTTAAAGGCAAACAAAGGTATGTATGTACAAAGATATGTATGTACTACAAATATTAATCAGAAATAATATTCTCATTTTAACAAAAGTACATATAAATGAGAAAAAAACATCAGATTCCCAATGGTAACGCACACGAGCTATGAAAACAATCCATACAACCATCAAAGATGGAATACAAATAACCAATAAACAGAAGAAAACTTTTCAAAAACACAAATAGAAAGCAAAAATAAGTAAATAAACAAATGACAGAATGCCCCTTTTCATTGATGACACGAAAATGTTTTTGTTTCTAATGAAGAACTTTCAATGTCAATGAAAGTTGTAGAAACCAGATGCTCATGAGCTACAGGTACAACTTTTAGGGAATAAATTGCAAAGATTTATTAACATTTCATATTCATATTCTCTCAGATGCAGACAAATAATTGTGCAAAATCTTTATATTAAGTCACAATATATTATCTATCTAGCAAGCTTCACTCAAATAGCTAAAAGTTAACCCTCCCCCAAATTTAAAAGCATGAGATACCTCTAAATTATTATGCTAAGCAGATGTTAAAACAAACTAACAGAAGATAAAAAATAAATATTCTCAAAGAATTTTAATGACATGATCCCCTTAGGTTATTTCATGCACTGAAACAATGGGTCGAGACAGCAGGGTTCTCCTATAGTCCCAGCCACTTGGGAGGCAGAGTCAGAAGCATCACAAGTTCAAGGCCAGCCTGGATAACTTGGCAAGATGCTGTCTCGGTATAAAAAATTAAATAGGCTGGGATGTTACTCAGGGGTATACCACCCCTGGGTCAACCCCCAGTATCAGAAAAAGAAAAAACAGAAAAGCTGAGTAGGATGTCAGCATATTGTAATATCAATTATGTGTGTCTAGAAGGAACTTGAACAAAAGTATTAATGATAGATTCTTAGAAGAGAGAGAATTATAACTTTTTCCCTTCTCTTTTCTAGTTTTCTACAAATATACATGAATAAAAATGTATATGTATATATTCATATTTTAGGGATGCAGAAAATGTGCATGATCTTTATAGTAACTAGAAATAAAATTTTTATAATTCATGTACATGTGTATATATGTCTATATACATATAAAGCAAAATAGAACTAGTCACTGTTCTCTAAGGGGCTTTATACTCAAATTTGTCAATTTGGTGTTTTTAAGGGCAGTCAATAATTCTTATATTCTTAGAATGTGGTACCTCAAAGGTCTGATCCTGAAAATTCTGTTGCATAATATATTTTATAATCATAGAATTATCTCGGATCTAGCACCTCTAGCTCTTTCTACTATTAAGCCAACCTAATTGCATTTATTTTTCATGTTTTTTTCTAGGATTACATGTATTTTGAACTCTGTCCCTAAGAGTCATCCTGAAAGACTATGGCAGAGATTGCTATCATTAAGTTTTGCCAGCCAGCCCTCAGCAAAATTAAACAACTTGCCCTGAAAGTATCTAAATAAAATTTATTTTGCGAAAACTATTTGTATACTTTTTTACCTATATTAAACCATAATAAACTTTAGTAAGTTAAAATAATTATTGTATTTAGCTCAGGACTCTGATGCTGGACAAATACAAATTCTCCTGGCCAGAACCTGCTCCCTCGCGTGCCTACAGTCAATTAACTGATTGCCCAGGGACTGACTCATCCCAGAAGAAAGACTTCATTTGCCTATCTGGATGTTAGCTGGAGCAACAGGGACAGTGGACACATATCTTTGATCATCTGGGAGACCAGCCAAAGCTTTTACACAGGAGGATTGTTACTAAGGAATCCAGGAAGCAAGTTCAAATGTGCAAACTCATGTGAAGCCAAAGCAGGTCCTTTAGCTTAGCTTAAGAGTCAAGATATAGACAAAGGGACTCAAAGGGGTTATTGCAAAATATTGTGCCCTTTCTCACACCAATCTATCACCATCTACCTGTGATCACAATTACTTAATTCTCCCCATATGCAAAATAGCCTCAGTCCTCTTAGGAGATTCCCAAAAGTTTATTTCAATTGCAGCATCCAGCACAGGACCAGTATCATGTAATCAGCATTTTTGTGAATGCCAATGAGGATATAAGGTTCATACATGACTAAAGAGACCCACTCAACATTCAATAGCCAAAATCAAAATAACCACAACCAAAAAATGGAATCCATACAGCAGTCACTGGTCCATAGAACTCTAGAATTATGTAAATCAGTGGATGTGTAACCGATGTGATTCTGTAATCTGTATACGGAGTCAAAATGGGAGTTCATAACCCGCTTGAATCAAAGTGTGAAATATGATATGTCAAGAACTATGTAATGTTTTGAACAACCAACAATAAAAATTTAAAGAAAAAAAAAAAGATGGGCACAAGTTTTCCTTTCCCTGGGAATAGAGAAAGCCCTGCTCCCCAGAAGGGGACATCTAATCCATTGTCTACTCTGCTCTCTGTGATTTTGGTTGTGCCTTTTGTGATGTTTGTTTTTTTCTCATGTTTTGGGCATATTTTTGCAGCCCTCTGTCTGCCTATTAAAAATTGGGAACCTAGGTTTCTTTATATTTTGAACTGTAACAAGTCTTTTTTAGTCTATGCTTGCACAACTCTCTTAAAAACTAAAACTGTCTGGGGTTTTTATACATCAGGTTTGGTCAACTCCAATGAATGGAAAAGTCACATCTGCCAATCCATTTTTTTTTTCTTACATGACAGTTGCCTCCCTCTGGACTTACTCTTAGATGGGCTTTTTCATATGACAGGTGGGCCAAAAGCAGCAAAAGAACATTCCTTTATGCACAAGCACTTCTCAAACTTCTGTTTGCCTCATGCTTGTTAATGTCCCACTAGCCAAATCAAGTCACTCAGCTGAATTCACAGTCAAGAGATGTTTAAAAAGACTCTGCTTCTTGATGGAAGAAATGGTCAAATACTGCGGACACTTCTTCACAATCTAGCATAGTATTCAACTGGTGATTTTTCATTATTTATACTACCTATAAAATAATATTTAAAATATGATCCTTTTGTTCAACTATATATTATCATTTAACTAATATAAATGTTCAAGATGATTCTTAAATATGGTTACTCTTAACGTGATTGTATCCAATAAACTGGTGATCCTATATCAGGACCACACAGACATTAACCTAAGGGAAGGAAGAGAGATTAGGACTCAGTGAAATGAAATACATGACACCTGAATATTTCCAGATAAAGGAGAATACTTGATTCTTTTTTTTTTTTAAGAG